ACCGAAACCGGATACGATGTATGCTACTCGCGGGGGAACAGTGATACGTCCGAATTTGAAGCAGTATTGAGATACCCCCGTCGCGTGAAGAATAGCACCTTCTGGGACAGGAGGTGTCTCAATGAAAACCCTGGTGCCAGATGGTGTGGATGCTCCTCCATTGGATGACCCTGGAGCAGGCGAAACGAGTCCAGATGGAACAGCTGACGAGCTTGCTGTGCCAGCACTGGTGGTGTCCGGGTGAATGATCACCACGGATTCCCCAACATCGGATGGCGGTGGCGCCGGGGTGACACCCTTCAAGAGCTCGGTCGCGGCTTGCTCAGCATTACTAGATGTGGCGTCGATAGCCTTCGAACTGGACGCTGATCTAGACTCAGCATTTTTTCCATCCTTTTTCTTCGGGTACGTAAGATATTGGGCATAGAGATAGAGCCATTTAGATGTATCCCATCCACCAAAGTAGAGACGAATCTCGTACTGGGCGAACATGGGAATTTCCTTGAGGAAATGGATGTAGCTCCCGCCTAGCGCAAGCCTTCCTCCAGCAGAGTGGAAACCGGGAAAGCTATGAATGGCTGCATTCATGCGCACGAAATCCATATTCTGGTGGGGAAGGGAGTCGATTTAGCTGTACTTGCCAAAGATAGGCGGAACTGATCACGAACCCACCTTAGCATATGAAGAGTTGCTCAAATGGAGATTGTAATCACAATCCGCGATACCTACACCGACCGGAAATGAAGCACGAATCATGAGGCTAATCATCATCGGTAATAACCATACCTGCTCGTAACCTCAGCACTTCGACGACATCTAAGGGACTCTTCCCGAGGCCGAATTCCTTCGTCACCTTCGTCAAATGTTTATTAAGTCCAGCGATTCCACTCCGTTTCCGAATAAGCCAATCTATCCAAATCATGCGGAACCATGGGTATAAAATACGAACTTTGATGGTGCTAAGCAAAGCAGATTGACGGAAAAGAAAGGCCGACGGACTCACTGTGCCACGCGATTGGGAATACTCGAAGGTTCAATGCGACTAGAAAGACAGCGAACCATTTCAAAGGCTTTGGTATATACCGGGAAACGGTAAATGTCGTTCCGGTAATTACCCCCGCCCGGACGACGCTCTCCAGGAGCATAAGCTGGTTTGCTCTCCCCATAGTTGCTTATCACGGTAAGTAATTGCGGAATTCCTATCATGCAGTTTTTCCAGGTTTCCGGGAGAGATTGGACGGAGGAACGAAACAAAGGAATGATGAACAGGCCGTGACGGATAGATGAGCATCAAAACTGTCAGAACGAGGAGTAATGCTGCTTGGATAAAAAAGACTCACAAGCTGAAAGATGCGAATCTCAACGAAAGACTCTAATGTGTGTATCCTGATCTATGTGTGAAGGATTTAGACGCTTCGGGGTGCTGTGCTGCGACGAGAGGCGTTGGGGATTTGAGCGTGAGAACCAACTTTGGATGTAATTCAAATTTTCGTGAGTGGGTGGCTGCATGGGGCCGGCTTGTGGGGCATCTTCATGGCATGTGTCTTCGCGGGAACGGGGCTCCTCGTGCGTTGTGTTTAAGAAGTGTGACGGAATACATTACTACATATACTATTGGGGAGGAAGTATAATACATAACAGGTGCAGCGACCCGCATCTAAAAGACGCTTCTAACGTACTTTTATCCTTTCATTCACCCCTCAAGAGTCGAGTTAACCCTTCTTAGTTGTTCGGGAATTCTGTAGCCGCTCCTGGCTGTCTGGAACCCCGAGACAACGAAGCTGAGATACTTCTGCCATGTTTGATGCAGCATTGAGGAGCTTCAATAAATATACGTGAGTTGTCAGGAGGCGAATTCCCTTCGCGGGTTGAGGAGTATCCACAGTGTACGGCACCACGATATCTCTCATCGAGTCCTTCGTCACATTCTTGGCCATTCATAGTCTCCCAAAATACCGACCTCGTGCTCAACAAACATGGGAACTATGTAGCTCGATGCAATATTGGAGAAACGTTCCTCCCAAGGCAAATTCCTTCATCGATAAACACGACGGTGTCCATGCTCGTAATTTAGGTTCTAATATAATTGAAGTGCCAACCAATAAGCTTGCCGCAGGACCCAACGACAAGCGAGATGTGCGGGTAATACGACTGTCGCTTATCGCACGAATATTGTCCAAGGTATGGTTTATGTGGTCAATCCGCTCAGATGAGGTCGATTCGCGTAACAATCGTGAATTGATGCCATTATCCACTTCGCAAAGCGAGTGTGAGATGGTGGCAACGATCAATATGTAGTACAGCCCATGAAGGCTATAGGTGCTTGGCCCTCTCCTTTTGTCTGCAATTTGCGGAAGCCGGGGAAAGGGAATATTGGTCCAAGTTGGCATCAAAAAGTGCTGATGCAACTAGCAATGTCACATTTTATCCAACAGTTTCTGCACTATACTTTGTTCCGCCGCATCTCGGGGAACTGCATATTTGATCGATACGGCGATAACACAAAGCTCGTAGGTATGGACGTCACGAAAACTCCTGGAACTTTGCCGGGAACTGTGTCAGGCAGCTTAGGAGGGAGGGTGAAAATGGAATTTTTCAGATATCAAATTTCCTGCACCTTTCGCTTGAAAAGTTGCTAAAAATTACTCTAAAACCCCGGACAATGCTTCAAGGGTTGGGTCATCATCGAAGGAGAGCCGCCACACAGCTAGTAGCGGACCGGTGCATTGTGTGTCCCAGGAAATATTACGTCCTCTGGGTTCCCCGGAAGCCAGAAGATCAGGAATACTTATGGTGTCCAAAGTCCGACCCAAAACCCAGAAGTCTGTCAGGCATTGGGTCTAATTTAGCGGAGAGAAAGTCGGGTGATTACGGTTCTGAGCGGAAATTAAGGGTCCTGCTCGCAGTGGCTATTAACGTTGTCCACTTCGTTCTGCTGTAGTATGCCGACTAACAAGCAGGCCATTTCATCCCCGGACCAGCGCCTACCAGCATGCGACCTGGAAAGGGATCTAGATCAAATCCAAGGCTGAAAGCCCATTAGGATAGTGGGACACATGATACCGGGTACAGAGAGAATATGGTCAGATGCTCAAATCACTTTGAAGAATACCCGAACGAATATTCACGCCGGAAAACAAACCAGGCCAACACGGAAAGAAGAATGGGTCGAAGACCACAGCACAAGGGCTCGTAGCACAATATGGGGACGAACCACTTCACAAGGTAAGCCCATCTACAATGAATCCCCCTCCTACATCATAGGATTCCAGAGGGGGCGAAGACGGAAGTGTACAAACACGCGCAGCCTGACGTACAGCCCCAATATAATCAACCAAATCCCTGCTTTTTATTTAGCTCGAGGTGCCAATTCGCACGCGCGAGAGGTTTCAGCCGCTGCCGGGCACATCCGCATGACGCATCCTGGCTACCCACACGACGCAGCGGTACAGAAGGAAAACACATCAAAAGTATACGTGATGGCCACTGTCCTATGACACGGGAGTGCTGAGACCGTCGCAAACAACCTTTAAAAGAAGAGATGCCGATCCCTAGACTTCATGTGGACAAGACACATGATTTTGTAAGGAGGCGAGAATAACGGAGTTGGCCGGCGCGAATCAAACGCGGACAGCCACTCACAAGCGTGGAAATCATGGGCAGGTGACCAGCCTCTCTTCCACAAGAAACCAGAGAGGTCTGCGAAGTATCGTGTCGCCCCCGACCTTTTTTTTTGAATTTGTTCTATCTGCTGTTGGTCGGTGGACTTCGTCAGGGCAATGGTCCGAAGCAGAGATTCAGGCACTACTTCATTCAGGCGATTTGGAAGATACAGAATGATTACATAGTATGCGGCGAGTATCAATGTCAGTGCCAGTGCAATGTCGATGTGCTCAGAAATGTGACAAAAGTACTTGGGGTAACCAGGGTGCAAAATGCTTTAGGGAATCACAAAGAGAAATCTCATTGAAGGGCGTGGATATCCGTCATGGGAAGGTTAGAATGTAGGGCTGCAAGCCGGACATCATCAACGCAGTGACCTAACAAATAGAATTGATGATGAGGACTGACCACCATTGTCGACTTCCAGCGGCACAAGGGGTATTCGTCTCCACCACAAGCTTCCAACAGCGCTGCTCCTTTGGCATAAGTTTTGGTCAGATGCGCAAGTCGGACCTTGACATGCCCTGCTGATAGAGTCTTCTGGCTTCTTCGAATGCGTAATTTATGTCGTCTGTGAACCTGCTCAGCCTTTTCCATGACGCTGCTTTCAAACTTTTCGTAAGAAGGGCCAGAAGTCGAGAACGCAAAATGCTTCAACCCCAACGCAGTGGAGTTGTAGGCAATCGAGGCAAGGATTGAATAGAAGTGGACGAGCGATCCAGGAGTCCCACAGACAACGGGACTCGACCCAGAACAATATCAGCCCCACAAGTTAGGAATAGAGTTTTCATTAAGAGCTCACCAGTCTGGATTTGGGCAACCGCTGGGTTCGACACCACCATTCTTATCCCGGCATTCTATGTAACATCAAATGAACGTGAGCAACGGATAGCACTTTTGGGGTCTTCGTATATGTACTTCCATGAAAGTAACTCGGAAAGATGTCTTGACTGGTTCGATTGTATGCACCGATCGCAAAGTTCGCGTACAGAGGTGCCACAAGACGCGCCGCATCAATTTGAGCTGCTCCCAAGAAAAATTGATTATTTAAATCCCGACTCTATCGGGATTACGACGCGCGTTGACACGCGTGCTTAGGTGATTCATTGTCGTGCTTCACTCACGAAAGCTGCCAGAACCTCTGCGACAGGATGTGTATAATTTGAGACAAAAGCCTACAAAGAAATTTTCCTTCAGGAAGCTGCCAAGCAATGGGATACAGTCAAGATCGAAGGCTGGCCTGAGTGATCCCAATGATGCATTCGCCTTCGCAAGCTTGCACAACATCCAGGAAAGCCACCTGGGCTCCTATTAAAGCTGCAATTCCAACTCTGAACATGTCCAACGGGTGGATAGGGCCAGTCGTAGAGATACTAATTGTTCCCGATGATCGTACGTAGTATCGAGGTCGAGCAGGGGTGAAGCGAATTCCCCAAATCACGTGAGTGAGGTTCTGCGACGGGGGTCATGCAACTTGTTGGATGAACAGGCCATGACGACGCGCCGGTACGCATATAAGTAATGTTCATATCAGTTATTGATATTATTCTATTTGTCCACGCATATGCCACGTTTCACTGCTGCGCTTCCGCTACTACGCCCCACATGTACAGATCCGTGATGGATGGATGGAGCCATTTCCACTCATGTAGCTTTGAGACACCCTGTATGGCTCAGATATCTTTCTTGTTTCATCGCGCATGTTTTAGACCACCTTCATATATTGGGATAGAAGACCTAATACCAGCCAGCTTTCTCGCGAAAGATATTCATTCATAGGTCCAGATATTTGATATTGTTATCCATTCAGTTTCATGTGCATGACAATATACTAATATTATTATGTAATGGTGGTCACTTCGCTTGCGATCATTACGACCAAGGTCAGCCATTTCTCATGAATATCATCCATATCTACGAAAATATCTCGCCCATAAGCACCTTAGATACGCAAAGATTGTTGCTGTTTTTTATTTCTCCTTAGACACTGTAATATAATCTGAGGGATGCGCTCCCCTTCTCTTCCAACCCTCTAAGTGCACACGCTCAAGGCTGAGGTAAGTACTCCCTGATTCATGTTACGTACCTACTGACGCCACGCACATTACATGCCAGTATAATAGCACCAAAGTCACAATGCGATTCTGGAATGCTCTTGTCCCAATCGCTCTTGTTCCCGTTGTCACAGCTGATATTCATTTTGGCCCTGCCGGGTGCTGGGACAAAGACGGACACCAAAGTGGTCCAACGTATCTGATTTTCCTCCCCGAAAAGGACGGTGAGCCGAAGTCCAAAACGGATTTTGCTCCTGCTTAACCAATATTTGCCCAACAGCCTCATGTTGGGCTGCAACGAACCCGAGGTCCTTGTACCCCTGGCTTCAGTACGGCCAAGCCACATACCTCAACGAAGTGACCACGGAGCTTTGCGGTGTTAACATTACGGTGACATTCCACGGGAACCCGGTCCCTCCCGATTGGACCAGTTCAGATGGAGGACATGGTCGGTGTTACTGGTATACGGGTGGTACACAAGCCAAGCGTTGCGATAAGTTTGCCGATTCAAAGGGCTACTGCTTATTTCAGGATATGGGCTTCTGCGACTTTCACGTGTGCAAATAACCCGTTGTACAGTGACCAATGCAGATGTCCGAAATCTTCGGCATCTGGATGCTGGCTGCCTTGTCAGGCTAGTCAGCCAATTAACCCACCCTATCAAGGGGTGTTTTTTACGCTTCAAATAGGGCCTAAATGGCCTATTTCAATGTGGACGTCCTGGGACGTCCTGGTGATGCGGCTTGCTGCCAAAAATGGACTGTGGGAAAATCTGAGGACGTCCTGATAACTATGTGCCTGCGATGTTGTACATACGGCTATTTACATAAATAGTAGACAGGAAAATGGAAAAGATAAATCAAAATTATCGAAATTAGGGCTGAGGTGGGGGAATGGGCAATGTTTCTCAATGATTTCGAGCATTTATGGAATTATACTTTGCCGTGGTGTTTTCAAAGGGATTTTTAATGCTTATAAAGATTTTTGGGATTTTACGAGCCATTGTAGATAACCATTATCTCTGGTATGTGCAAGCCCCTTTCCCACGCACTATGGGTTGCTTGAGAGGCTGGCATCTCTGTCAAATCTCCACTGATCTGGAAGATTCTCCTCTTTCCATCACTTAAAAGTACATACAAGCTCTGGGTGAGAGGAAATTTATAACTTAATAGCTAGGAAGAACACACATGTTATGTCGCATGTAAGCATATATATTACCACATTCAAGTTCTAACATGTGTTGTCATGAATATTCACCGAACATGGATTGCGTGGGAAAAGGGAAAAGGTCGACATCCAGAGTCTCTCAGGAGTCTTAAAAATATGAAAAAATATTGTGAGTGCCCGTGGAGTATACTTTTCGTATAGTACCAAGTTTGAGAGAAATCAATGGCAGGTTTGTCAATATATTCGCAAATTATGCTGATTGATGGCCACACAATGAATAAAGTTGACGATTTCCACAATGGGTGCACTAAATCTCTCTGCTATAGCCTACTTCGATTTTTTTTGATGACAGCTTTCTAATGATACAAATTATGTGGAAATTGATGAAGAAATGGGGGATATATGGGGGAAATACTGCTGGAGCAGCCTGATATGAAAGAAGGTCGACGCGAAACCAAACCGTCCCCTTTCATGCCTTTTTTTGAGCACCAATAACCTCTCCTCCCCTTCAGCTTTCCAACAAGCTCAATTTTATTCAAATTGGCCCAGTGGTTCTTGACAGGTGCTGTCAAGTTGTCAGGGCTCGGTCCTTGATCAGGGACAGCCCGACCTCAGGCCTAGGTGTGTGTGGTGTTCCGGGTGGTTGGGTGCTAGACCCTGTCCTCAGCTCCTCAAACTCACTGAAGGGACTAAGCGGGGATTGAGTTGTCATGTATTACAGAGGGTAACTACAACTTGCCTAAGCGGGGATTGAGTTGAGAAGAAGGGTAAGTTTCCCTATTCCCCGCTTGGCTACTATAAAAGGGAAGTGTACGTACAGTTCATAACGTGACTCCGGGTAGAAGCTGAGCATGTTCCCGCGACTCGGAAAAGGTGTCACATGGGTTAAGGCGAGTTGCTCGCCTTGACCCACGTGATTTTTCCTGCAGGCTCACATGCGGGCTGAAGTTGTGAGAGATATGTAGGGATGGGGAGGTCAGGGAAGTGGGGGAAGTCTGGGAAGGTGGTTCTGGGGTGTGGTTGGGTGCCCTGACAGCGGGGTCAGGGGCCGATCCCTGACACAAGTCCACGTGAGATTCAGCATGGTGTTGAATGGACCACATGCAAGAATCTCTACTAATATTGGTCCATTCAGCACAAAAATTTTCGTGATAGGAGAAATAATCCTGCTCTATTGATCGAGCATAAGAAGGTTTGTTTTAAAGGCATAGTTGTGGAGATCATGGGGTAAGAAGTTGAAAGTTATGTTATGCATGGGGATCCTGCTTGGGAACTGAAAATGGTTTCGGAAAAATAGAAAAAAATTGGAAAGAGCGAGTAATGTGGGTGGGAAATGGATGTGAAAATGGTGGAAAGACTAGGCCTGTGTGCTTTGTAGGCTACAGCATAAAATCCATAAAAATAGTTATTTTGTTGTGCATGAACTTTTCCCTGTAGAAACAAACAGAGATAATATCCCATGGTAGCTTCAAGAACATTTCAATTGGCTTTAAGAAATGGAAAACACTAATACAAAAGACAGAACAATAAGCAAGTGGCCTGGAAACCCAAAATTATGTTGGAAGCCTCAACTGCTCCCCATAACTGTGCTAACCTTACACCATTCAACTATACTAAACCTTAGCTTTCCAATGCAGCTGGTCTCATTCAAAATGGTGGAAAAATGAGCAAGATAGTATGGGAGGATGTAAGGGATGGACAGGGATGGGATGTTGCACTGTAAGGAGTGATGTTCCTTGAGGCCGACCATCTTTATTCCCTTGCTATAAATAATGTACAACAATGTAATTACATATTTATATAACGGAGTGTGAGATGAATGGAGTTTAACTCCTTTCCTCCACACCTGTCAAAATATAGCTCTATACAGCTTATCTCTTTGACAGACTTGAGGAACTAGGAGATACAAGGTCGGCACCTACACTGACCTTACATGTGCGCTTTGCATGCATTTCCTCTATTCTTTATTCCTTAATATTCTTTGTAATAAACAATGTAAAACAACTGTATATACATATATAGTGTCCGGGGTTGGGAAAAGGGGCTCTGCTCTTCTCCTCCCCCCCTGTCGAATACTAGCTCCATACAGTCTATGTTATCAAGGATTGAGGAGTGTCAGGGCACACCCACCTGACCTGGTTCCACCCGGGCCCACCTCACCCACTCACCCGCTCCCCACTACCCATCCTTCCTCCTCCCTCCTTCCTCCCTCTTCCCCTTCCTCCCTTTCCTCCCTTTTCCTCTTTCCTCTTTCTCCTTTATTTCATTCTCCCTTTCTGTTTATTCTTTCTATTTACACGGACCACCTTCCCTTGTATCATTGTACTGTTGACCTGTCCGGCTCGGACACCCTGGACGACTTCCCGCTACGCCTAGCATGCGCACCTGCAGCGGATGCCCTCGGGATCCCCTGCAGGGATACCCGGATGGCTGCGGCTCTCTCCGTAGATGACGTGGCACCCGTCATGTGACCCAAGCCGCATGTACATAAATGTACCTGAAGTGGGAACTGAAGAAGTAACCTTCTTCTCATGTTTTCCACTTCAGGTAAGTAGTGTAGTTCTTCCTTTTAATAACAATTCACATTTTCCACTTCAGTCTAAGTGGCCAGGGACTACAGTCCCAGATCGGGCCCGTCAGTATGCATGCCCGCTTCGTCCCCCAAGAGGGTCCCTCTGCTGGGCGCTACAGCCAGGCCCCCTCCACCCCGGATGCGTCCCTGACAAGGAGTCACCAAGGCTGGCACCCCAACTGGCCTTACAGAGGAGCGGTGAAGGAGAGAACAAAGGAAGGTCAGTTGGGAGGTTCAAACGAGACCACCACCAAGCTGTTCCCTGGTTCTTTAGTTAGGATGGGGAAGTGTACTAGTATTATTTGTTGTAAATATAGTACCAATCCAAGTGTTTTGGCTAATTCTATTTTTATGGGTTAGTCTAAAGTTTCTGGGAATTGACTTACAGATAAACCGAGCCCTGCGGAGCTGTTCCTTTTATTGAATTTTCTTAATTTGTCTAGGTGTAATTCTGTGTAGCATTGTTTAATTTGGAATTTAACTTGAATTAAATCTTCTACTTGGTGAAGTTTCAAAGATTCTACTCAGTTAATGGATTTGGATTGTGTCTGGAGTGTCCCTTGAGTTTGTTTTATTTTTGTCTTATTTTATTGCTTGTTTTAACAGTAGCAAAATAACTGTTTTGTGTTTACACTTTGAAATTTGGAGTGTTAACCAGCTCTCCTGTTGAAATATCTACTTAATATTTCTCTCCTTAATTGCTGCCTTTTACTACAGTGGCAATCTTAACTGTATATCACTTTTTCGCACTGGAGTGACAACCAGAAATGCTTGAGAAAAATAATACTCTATTTTCTTACTTCTCTGAGGGGGGCAAAAAGTCGCAGAAAGGGTCTCCCTTCTATACTCCTTGGGTCGCCTTCCTTTTTCACGCTCTACCTCCTATTTACAGGATTTATTTAACTCATTGTTCTTGCTTGCCTTTTGTTGACCAAGTTTTCTGATATTAACTATTTGTCTCTTTCTTCATTCATTAATATCGTGCTTGATCCGCCACTCCTTCTGGGCCGGTTCTATTTAGTTACTTGTGTTTATAATGCATGTAGGTTACACCGGATGTACCTCAGTTCGTATATCGACTTGGATTCCCCCTCTAGACTCCTCTCCTCATTGTAAGGCTTCTGTCTGAAATTGGGACACCAATGTAAGAACGAAGCTGTCAGGGACGCGTCTGGGGTCGAGGCGGTCTGGGCATAGCATCCGGTGCTAAGGACCTCACGTGGGGTAGATCGGGCATGCGTACTGGCAGGCCCGATGTGGGACAGCGATCCCTGGCCACTTAGACTGAAGTGGGAATGTTGAGTTATTATTAAAAGGGAAACTATACTACTTACCTGAAGTGGGAATGTTGAGAAGAAGGTTACTTCTTCGGTTCCCACCCCAGGTGTGTTTATATACATGCGGCTTGGGTCACATGAGGTCCACCATGTCACCCCACATACAGCCATAGTCACCCGGGTGTCCCCATGGGGGATCCCAAGGGCATATGCTGCACGCTGTAGGAGAAATAACGAACACACTATGGAAACCCATTATGGAAATATGCCAGATAAATCACAAAACCCCATACGACAAGTAGATATGAGAAAATAGAAGGACCTGAACTTTAATGAATTTTAATGAATTTTTTTACAAATTATTACGATTATACACGATAAATTGAAAGAAAGAAAATTAGCAAAAATACTTCAAGCTTAGCATCAACAAGACGGAATTCTCGGGGGAATTTATAGCAAATATTAAACAAAGAATTAGGACAATCGACCAAGATTTGACTATAAAAACAATCAGAGAACCTCCACAGAAACTACTTTCCCATGTCCGCACACGTAGCCAAGGATGGAAGTACCACGGAACAAGGATTCCTCAGGAACTAATGCAAAATTCAAAGGCGTGTTTATAATAGGAAATGTAGATGTCCCCCAAAGGGACCAAATGAAAGTAATTACAGGGAAAACTACCCATAAACAATGGAGATATGACTAAAACTCCCACAAAACGAGGACAACGCTTAAAAAGCAAGCGCGAAGAATAACCAGTAATGACCAAGACGAGCTTGATAGCCCATTAGAAAGGAAGGGATCTAATCTTAATCCACCCAAATTTTCATAATAAAAGGATCACGCATTAATGAGATATCCAATAATGGGAATAGCGACATCAAAAGTCCGAGCTCAGGGAA